GCACGATGCAGGCTCTCCCCGCCGCGCCGCGGTGTCTGCTGGCCGGCTTGCTGCTGCTGGCCGGCTGCGCCTGGGTGGGGGCGCCGGAGCCGCCACCAGACAGCGCGGCCGTCTCCTCGCCGTGGGCGCCCGAGGCGGCCGCCGTCGTGGTGGCCAACCGCGGGCTGCGGGTGCCCCTGGGCCGCTCCGCCTGGCTGGACCCTGCGCGGGACCTGGTGCTGCAGGTGCAGCCGGGGGACCGGTGCCACCTCACCGTGCTGGACGAGGAGCCGTCGTGGCAGCGCCCGGGCCGCCTGAGCCCCCGGCGCTTCCCCTGCGACTTCGGGGCCCGCGAGGTGCAGTACTCCCACCTGGGCGGCCGCAGCCCCGCGCGGGACCGCGTCCGGCTGCAGCTGCGCTACGACTCGCCGAGCCGCTCCCTGGTGCTGCCCCTGGTGCTGGAGGTGGAGGTGCTCTTCACCCAGCTGGAGATCGTCACCCGCAACCTGCCCCTCACCGTGGAGCGCCTGCGGGGCACCAGCAACCCGCTGGACGCCCGCAGCCTGGAGTTCGCCTTCGAGCCGGGCCGGCAGCGCTGCCGGGTGGGCCTGCTGCCGCCGCTCGCCGGGCTGCCCCGCTACGGAGAGATCCTCAACTCCCCGCCGGCGGCCGCGGGCGAGGAGGAGGCGGCAGGGGGCGGCCCGGTGCCCGCCTCGATGTGGGACTGCGAGGAGTTCTTGCGCCTGGGGCTGCGCTACCGGCACACGGCGGCCAGTGGCTCCCCCAACCGCGACCTGGTGCCGCTGGTGGCGGAGCTGCGGGAGGCGGCGGGCAGCGGGGCGCTGCTGAAGCGTGAGTACTTCCAGGTGCTGGTGCGGATCCGGGCTGGGACTGAGAATGTGGCCCCCAAACCCAGCTTCTTGGCCATGCTTATGATGGAGGTGGACCAGTTCGTCCTCACCGCCGTCACGCCTGACATGCTGGCAGCTGAGGATGCTGAGTCGCCACCAGACCTGCTGCTCTTCAACATCACCTCTCCCTTTGGCCCCGGCCAGGGCCACATGGTCAGCACAGACGACCGGAGCTTGCCTGTCTCTTCCTTTAGCCAGCGGGATGTGAGGGAGCTGCGCATCGCCTACCAGCCGCCCGTGGAGGACTCGGATCAGGAGCGGCTTTTCGAGCTTGAGCTGGAGGTGTTGGACCCAGAGGGTGCTGCCTCAGAGCCCTTTGCCTTTGTGATTGTGGTGAAGCCCATGAACACCCTGGCACCTGTGGTGACCCGCAACACTGGCCTCGTGCTTTATGAGGGGCAGTCACGGCCTCTCTCGGGCCCTGGTCCCAGCCCCAACCTGGTGATCAGTGATGAGGATGACCTTGAGCAGGTGCGGGTGAGCGTGGTGGCAGGGCTGAGGCATGGCCACCTCACTCTCCTGGAGGATGCCCCAGCAGCTGCTGCCCCTCGTAAACACTTCACCGTGGCTGAGCTGGCAGCAGGCCGGGTCATTTACCAGCATGACGGCAGTGAGTCTCCACTCAGTGACAACCTGGTGCTGCGGCTAGAAGATGGTGGCTCTCGCCACCGCGTTGAGTTCCTTTTCCCCATTACCCTGGTGCCCACTGATGACCAGCCGCCCCTACTCAATGCTAACATGGGGCTGGCCATGGCTGAGGGTGAAACAGTGCCCATCACCACCCGAGCTCTTAGCGCCACTGACATTGACTCGCAGGATGCCATCCTGCTTTTCACAGTGGAGTCTGGCCCCACTGCTGGGCAGCTCCTCCTCCGTCAAGCACAGCCACCTCCTGGCTGGGAAGAGGAGGAAGATGATGAGGGTTTTTCTTGGAGGAGGGTGCCGAGTTTAGCAGGGAGCTCCCTAATCTATGAAAAGCCAGTGAGAGAGTGGCTGCAGCAGGACATTGTGGAAGGGCGTCTCTATTACCACCACTTTGGGCCTCACAGCCCTGGCCCTGGGGTTGTGTTGGATCAGTTTGTCTTTAGAGTCCAGGATGACAATGACCCACCCAACCGCTCCAGACCACAGGCTTTTGTGATCCGGGTACATCCTGTAGACAGATTAGCCCCAGAGCTGCATAGTAGCAGCAGCCTGCACTTAATAGTTGCAGAGCAGCAGGTGACCCCACTGCGGAGGAAACACTTGTGTTACACAGATCAGGATTCAGGGGACCGTGAACTCCGCTACACAATAACCCAGCCCCCCACTGACACTAACCACCCTCCAGATGTATATGGAGCCCGCCTTGGATCCCTCGTGCTGACTGAGGATCACTCTGTGGAAGTTACCCACTTCACCCAGGCCCAGATCAATCATCACAAGATCTCGTTCCGACCCCCACAGGAAGAACTGGGGGTGGCTCCTCATTTGATTCAGTTTCAGTATCAAGTACAAGATGCAGCTGGCAATGCAGCTGAAGGGACTTTCACCATCTACCTGCAGCCTGTGGATAACCAGCCTCCTGAAATCACTAATACTGGCTTCACTTTGCCTGAGGGAGGCAGCCATGTTCTTAGTCCAACTGAGCTGGATGCCAGTGACACGGACACTGAACTTGCCCATCTCAGATTTATCCTGACCCAGGCTCCTCAGTATGGCCAGTTGCAGCTTTCTGGGTACAGTTTGATTCCAGGAGGTGTCTTTGGCCTGGAGGATATCAGAGAAGGGAGGGTGGTGTATGTGCACAGTGGAGCTGAGACCAACAGTGATGCCTGCAGGCTTGATGTGAGTGATGGGATTCATTTTGTGCCCATCACATTGAAAGTGAACGTGCACCCAGTTGATGATGAGGTTCCTACGTTACGGTTGCCGCCAGGCACTCTTGGTTCCTACCTGGATGTGCTGGAGAATGGTGCTGCTGAAGTCACTGCTAATGTCATTCAGGGCACGGATGAGGATACAGATGACTTAATGTTGACCTTCATTATAGAGGATCCTCCTCAGCATGGGAACATCCTGGTTCAAGGGGTGCCTGCAGAGAGATTTTCCCAGAAGGATCTGCTGGATGGTGCTGTGGTATATGCTCACACTGGTGGTGAAATAGGCCTTCTGCCCAAAGAAGATACCTTCAACCTTACCTTGTCTGACCTGTCTGAGGAGTGGAGCGTCAGGGGCAATGTTGTTCAAGGAGTTTCGGTCTTGGTGACCATTCTTCCTGTTGACAGTCAAGCCCCAGAGATTTTTGTGGGGGAGCAGTTCATGGTAACGGAAGGCGACAAACAGGTCATTACTCCTGCTCACCTCAGAGCTGAAGATGTGGATACTCCTAGTGATGATATACTCTGCACCATTCTTGCGCAGCCCACATCTGGGTATGTAGAGAACATCTCTCCAGCCCCAGGATCTGAAAAATCCAGAGCAGGTATAGCTATAAGTGCTTTTACCTTGAAAGACCTCCGTCAAGGGCATATTTTTTATGTTCAAAGCATACATAAGGGTGTAGAGCCTGTTGAAGACAGATTTGCTTTCCGATGTTCTGATGGCATTAACTTTTCCCAAAGGCACTTTTTCCCCATTGTCATTATGCCAATCAATGATGAAGAGCCTGAAATCTTTACACGAGAGTTTGTTGTCATGGAAGGCATGAGCCTAGTTGTTGATACCCCTATCCTCAACGCAGCTGATGCAGACATCCCTGCTGATGAGTTAATGTTCACAATCACCCGGCTTCCCAGGCATGGCCATGTTGTGAACCAGCTGGTCAATGGAACTGTCCTAGTGGAGAGCTTCACTTTGGATCAGATAACAGAGAACTCCAACATACTCTACGAACATGATGACTCTGAGACAAAGGAGGACAGTTTTGAGGTGAAACTCACAGATGGTAAACATACCATTAGGAAAACGGTATTCATCATGGTTATTCCTGTAGATGACGAGACACCCAGGATGGCTATCAATGATGGTTTGGAGATTGAAATAGGGGAAACTAGAACTATTAATAACAGAATATTGAAGGCTACTGACCTCGATTCTGAAGACAAAACCTTGACATACATTATAAGATATGGGCCAGGACAAGGCGTCTTGCAGAGAATAAAGCCTTCAGCTGGAGTCGAGAATATCACCCTGGGGATGAACTTCACCCAGGATGAAGTGGATAGAAACTTAATTCAATATATCCATTTTGGCCAAGAAGGAGTTCGTGATCTTATTAAGTTTGATGTGACAGATGGAATAAATCCTCTCATTGACCGCTACTTCTATGTGACAATAGGTAGCACTGACATTGTTTTCCCAGATGTGATCAGCAAAGGAGTTTCTTTGAAGGAAGGAGGGAAGGTAACCCTTACTACTGATTTGCTTAGCACCAGTGACCTGAATAGTCCAGATGAGAACTTAGTTTTCACTATTACCAGAGCACCTGTTCGTGGTCATCTTGAATGCACAGATCAGCCTGGGGTACCCATCTCCACTTTTACTCAACTCCTGTTAGCAGGCAATAAAGTCTATTACATTCACACTTCAGAAGATGAGGTGAAGATGGACAGCTTTGAGTTTGAGGTGACTGATGGCTATAATCCTGTATTTCGTACTTTCAGAATTTCTATCAGTGATGTGGACAATAAGAAACCTGTCATCACAATCCATAACCTCGTGGTGAGTGAAAATGAATACAAACTGATAACCCCATTTGAACTGACTGCAGAAGACAGAGATACACCTGATGCATTGCTAAAATTTATCATCACTCAAATACCAGTTCATGGTCAGATCATGTTTAATAGCTCCAAACCAGTCACCACCTTCACTAAACAAGATCTAAATGAAAATCTAATCAGCTACAAACATGATGGCACAGAATCAGTTGAGGATAGCTTCTCTTTCACTGTTACGGATGGCACTCATAGTGATTTCTATGTCTTCCCCAACACTGTGTTTGAAACAAGGAAACCTCAGACTATGAAGATTCGAATAATGGCTGTGGACAACAGTGTACCTCAAATTGTAATAAATAAGGGTGCTCAGACTCTCCGTATTCTGCCCACAGGTCACATTGGGTTTCTGATTACCAACAAGGTGCTCAAAGTGGAAGACAGGGACAGTTTACAGGTTACTCTTAAGATCAGAATCACAGAGAGTCCGCGCCATGGCTTCCTGATCCACCTGGGGAAAGGCAACCATAGCATCAGCCAGTTCAGCCAAGGTATTACAATGCTCTGTGCTTTCTTTAGATCATTGGAAACATTCTTTTTCATGCCAATCTCTATAATAATCGGTGGGCAAAACTTTCCAACAGTGAGCTTATTTATAATGGCTTTATTGTTTTTCAGTTCTGTTTATTATTTATTGCATCTGTGACAGCTTTAAACAGCAAAGGGGGTCTACTGGATAAACACTGAATAAAGGAGCATCTTCGCTTTAGAGAGCTTACAGTCCAAATAACTGATTTGGACTTTCTACCAGTGATAGAAATTTGGATAACAGAATTGGGCTGCACGTGGTTCCAGATCCTTAGAGGCTGAATGCCTTCTTTAAACAGTTTTATTTAGAAAATGCAATGGGAGTGACCAAGCTATTATTAACTAATTGTCATACCATGGCTAGAGTATCAGTTGCTATGCAATCTGAGCGCGTTTAACTGTAAAAGCAAAATCATTTCCCAAACATGGGGAAATAATATACTATGAGTGCATTTGTTGCCGTAATTACACAAATCTTAACCACAGAGTGTTTGTGGTAAAATAAAAGGTAATGTAAATGTTTTAAAATTATGTCAGTGGTAGTTACTTTTTACATGGAACTAAAATACTAGGTGGTATAAATAGGATGAAAACCACATGTGCCATATGTTCTGAAATAAAGCCTCAACACAAGGCTATGAAGTAACTTTAATTGAAAGGGGAGCATTAGCTGTTCTCCAGAGAATTTTCCATTTTACTTTTCAATGAGTTAATAGCTGGTTAATTAACAATGAAATGAGTTTTCTTGGAGCCTCCTGCAGCTGTGGAGCGAGCAGACAGCACAACAGCATGGACACTCAAAGTTAAAGGGGCCCAGATGGGCTGGGCTGTGTAGGTGGTAAGGCTAGAGATTGTAGTTGGCTGTATTTCATTTCACAGAGCGCGTGCCAGTATGTGTCCCGTGTTACAGTCTTGGCTGTAGTGATGCTCTTGTCAGATATACGAAATCTTGCAAACAGGCCTGATGTACTTCTGAATGGCTGGGATGCCCTAAGTTCTGCAGTATTAGTGCAAAAAAGAGGATGAGGAGGGACCAAACCATGTCTAAGCTTTGGGAGCTGCCACAACTCCTTAAATGTAAGGCCTCAGTAGTGAACTGTGAGTAGTATTAAGAGTATCGCTGTCAGGGTGAGTGAGAAACAGAAGAGAATGGGAGTGAGCAAATAAACAGATTATCACTTTTTTAATGGTTTGGGTTTGGGGTTTTTTTGTTTTTGTTTTTGTTTTTACATTGGGGAATGTAGAATTATTGAGTGAGTGTTCCTTGAAAGCAGACCACTGCATATCACAGTGATGTCCCATTTTTTCAAGGAGGGGGGCACTTAGGATAGGTACATATTCCATTCTCTTTTGTGCCATGTGGCCAGGCGTACATTTGTTAGATGACCCAAATGAAGTTGTTAGTTGGCTTTCAATTGGCAGTCTGACCACATGGCATGCTCACTGGGCTTCACGCAGGCTTTCTTAATATCCTGGGGCTGCCTGAGCTGGGTGAGAAGCATGCAACCCTTAGGAAAAATTGGTTTTAAAGCTAGTGAGGATACCCAGAAAATGATATAACTTCACAGGTTCCCTGACAGTACTGGCACAAGCACTCTCATTTGTGTTGAGTTGAAGAGTGTTTTTAAGGAATACACATTTCTTCAATAATTTTGTCCTTTGGCCTCTATGAGCAAATACCTCCTGAGCATCTATGTTATTTCTGTGGTGTCTCTCTTCTCAACTTCCTGGATGCTTTTTATAATGGTTTGTATTTTATGAAGCAAACACATAAAAATGTCTTATGAATGCAGGGCCAAGCACTTTGAGGGAGAAGAGGTGTCTGGAAAGGCTGCTTGAAAGGCAGAAAGCAGCAAGCTTACACAAGGATAATACATCTGCTGAGGACAGGGAAAGAGAACTTGCTGGAAGTCATAGAATAACCTGGGAGTGAAAGTCGTGGATGAAAGGGCACTGTCTTTTCCTTTCCTTTTTCCTCAGATGCCCTCTTGTCTGTAGCCGCTTTGGATATGGGAGAGGTTGTGAATGGCAGGGAGACAAAAATTCTTGTCTGAATCTAGAAGGCCACAGTTTTGAGAAGTAATGTGAGACACAGAGGTCTTACGCATACTCAAAACTCTGTGTGTAGTTCACTGTTGTCCCTCACCTTCTGGCCTACTACCATTAATGTGCAAAATGCTGTCAAATCCAGAGTAGTGAATTTATGCATATTTCATGTTTATGCTGTACTGAGATGAATAATTATATAATGTTCAGGGCAGGAGTAAACAAGACCCTCTTTTGTCCTATTTTTAATGATCCTAATATAAGTGTAGGGTTTGCAACTGGCCATGAGTAATAGTTTTGACTTTGGGATGCTCCTGTATTGACTATTGGACCTGCTGTTATACACTTTCCTTTTATGTATTGATCTCCCCCCTTTTTAGGGGTCCTATCCTGCCATGTGGGGCAACCTCTTACAAAATGCTGAATAGTGCCAGTTTCATTAACAGGCATGGGTCCTGATGAGGCTTGTAAAACATAGTTACAGTCTTTCAATTTATGTTGGAAGGGACCTCTGGAGGTCATTTGGTCCAATCCCTACTCAAAACTGGGCCAACTTTGAAGTCAGATGAGGCTGTTCAGGGTCACATGCAGATGAGTTTTGAAAGGTGCTCAATAGTTGGTGAAGTCTGTACTAATACTCTACCACCTCACACTCCATTCCTTGGATTTGGGTCTGTGACTGTAAGAACAGGCAGCCTGACTGCTTTGAGTGAGGTAACATTGATGAAGCAAGAGTCATTGTGTGCAAGCAGCTTTGAGCAGTTTGGTTTTTCAGGGTGCCTGTAACTGAAAGAGAGGGCAGAGTGATTGTTTAGCAAACAGCTTTCTGCCTTATGCTTGAGATTGCTTTTCAATAGCTGCCCACAAGACTTTATTAAGTGCTAGAAAGGAAATAAGCCTAGCTTGCAAGATGAGCTAAAAGCCTCCAGTCAAAATGCAGTTGTGCAGAATATAGCACGTCCAGGAGATTTGTTGTCTATTTGGTTCAGGAACAATCAGTGTGGGGCTTTCTATTTAGTATACATCAAATACTTCTGCCACAAGTACAGTAGGTAATCTTTTGCTCATGAGGCTCATAGAGTTAATTGGGATTGCTCAAAGAGGGTAGTAGAGTGTGGAAGAATTAACTTCTTGTTAAAAGGTCCCCAAATTCTGCAAATAGTTGGTGCTTTTTATACTTTCCTGTTTAATTGTTAAAATAATCTGAATGAGAGAGGTGAGCAAGTGACAATAACAAAGTAAAATATTCTTAAAATACATTAAGCGGTTCATAAGTTTATTCAGGTACTGTCTGTTACTTCATGTCACACCTGAAAGCAGCACTTTTAGTTCATTTTTGTTTCTTTGTGCTTTATATTTACAATTTGGTGATAGTGAAGAGAAAGCTTAAAGAATAACACTTGCCACATCGTAATTTCTAGTCTAGTGCTGTCCTAGGACAAAAATACATACAAAGAATATTGAGTCTGCATAATTGTACTGCACTCGTCTCTGCAAGTCAGGGCTGGAATTTGTTCATAGTAGATATTCATTAAAATTAGATAATTTGTTTAAAAGTGGGGAAAGTCTATTAAGGAACTGACAAGTCTTTCACATTTAAAGAAGTTTAGTGGTATATAACAATTAGGTAGCTCATGTTTGGATAATGTTTTGAATGTACAAAGTGTGACGGACTGCTGAGTGCAGTTTTGGGAGTCCCCGGTCCCACATGGGTAAATTTGTGAGTAAGGGCCAGGTCACATCCCACAGCTCTGCAGGTGTGCTGAGGAGCCAGGATGAAGGGGAAGGAATAGTGGAGAGTAAGGATCTGCCTTGGCAATAACATAGCTTGGTTGATGTCTCAGCACTTCATGTAGCCTCCTGAGGCCAAAGATATCTACATGGCTACTCCAGCCAAATACGCAGCACTTTGCAAGCAATGCTTTTATTCAGCATTCACCCCGATAATGCTTTTTATCTTCTTTTTCAGGCAAGGGTTTTCAGAGAGACGAATGAAGTTGCGAAGTGCATTTGTTTCTTAAAGAATATATATAAATACATGTAACCTTTAATAACGACATCAGTTTTGCAGAATTTTAAATGGGAAATCAGTGCCCTGATCTAGTGGAGATAATTATATTTTTTTAAAATAGAAAATTGTTGGATGGATTTCAAAATTATGTTGGAGAATTCCAATATCACATTAATATTTAGCAGGCACGGTAGTTATACAGTAATGAATTGTGCTTACAACTAGGCAAGTTTTAATATAACCAGCATAATGAACAGAAGACAGGTCATTCCTTTGCAATTCTTTTGACAAAATTAAGATGTTCGGATGACAAGCGACTTTTTTTTGATGAGGTGGTCCTGGTCCTGCAAAAGCTGGCTCGAGTGCTTATCTTTATATGTGTTGGAACCATGGATTTTGGTAAGGTCATCTCCATGGGCAAAGCTGAGTACTTGTGTAAGTGTTTGCAAGATGAAAGATTTATTTGCTCCACTGGCATGAAGAGGTATTTGTTTGCATCCTCTTTACAGCCCCATGAATTTTTGATCTCTAAGTTTCAAATATTTATGGAAGAGATTCTTCAGTGACATATATTTACTGATAATGCTCTTAACTTGTTTGCCCTAGAAGATGTCTGGCTACTTTTGGAACTGAGGATTTTGAGGAGCTCTAACAAAAGTGCCTTCGGCTTTTTTTTACTAATGCATATGCCCTAACATGGGAGGAGAACTTGGGTGGTACTTGAGCTCCACTTTAATGCTATTAATTTCTAACACTTTTTCTTAAAAAAGTATCAGACATGGATTTTTACCAATAAAAGTCTTTCAGAGAAACTGACAAAGATTACTTTTTATGTATTACATGTTTCTCATCACTGCTCAAGGAAACCAGAAAACACAATATTAATAAATATTTGTTTACCTTTTATATAGTCTCTTTATTGCAATTGATGATTCAAAATTGTGCATTGAATTTTCTCTTATGGAAGTCTTCTCTACTTTAATTGCATGTATTTGTGTTCTTAAAACAGTCAAATCACTGTACTGTAAGTGTTTGAGCACTATTTATTTCAGTTCATATAGATTATATGCCATATCCTTTGAAAACATGCTGTTAGGAAAGATGATCTGGTGGAGAAGGCATTTTTGTGGGGGACTAAAGAGATTGAGATTTCTCTACCGCAGAATGTGTACAGATATCCTGTTCTAGAGGTGGACCACATGCCAGGAGTAATCTAGTTCTGGGGGGGGGGATCGTGTGGGCTAATTTGCCTTGCCTCTTGGATGGAGGGTAGAACTTAACATAGAAAATACCCTGGGTTTTGCTCCCATTTCAGCCACAGATTTTCTGTGACTACTACAGTACTTCTCAGGATGAAGAATGACAGAACCAATATCTTAGCGAAGATACACCTCTGTTTAAGAAAATGCCCCACTAAAAATATGTAGTAGTTCTGACTGTTGAGCCCATGTTTTTACATTTCCTTTCAGTTCTTTTTGTAAATACATCTTAAAAGAAAGAGGGCACTGAGGAGGGGGAAGTAAAGGGAGGGAGAATGAATGGTATATGTAAAACTTAAGTGCTGTTAATACTGAAACTCCTGAGCTCTGCTAGAGAACCTTGACCTCTCTCTGTTGAAGCTGAACTATTTAATACATGTCAAGTTTTTCTATAAAAACAGTTTCTTACCTTCAGCATTTAAAATAAAATCTATTTTTCCTGACTCTTTCCAGCTGATATTGATGGCATGAAGATATGCTATGTTTTACGAGGAGGTGACAATGCCACCAGTGACATTTTTCATTTCATGGTTGAAGATGGTGGTGAGTACTCATAAGATCTGTGCTTTTGTTGTTTTGAAAGAGTTTAAGAACATTGAATTTAACTGAGGGAAGTCCATGTTACCTCCTGGATTATGATTTTTGTTATGACTTTCCCATATTGTGGACTATTCCTGGTGATTTTGAGAAGTGTCGATAGAATGGTAATTGCAATTAATGAAAAAACACTCAACCTACTCTAGCAAGAAAGTGAAATTCTCTAAGTCTACTAAGATACCTGGGCTTTCTGTAGTTTTACCTTTGTATTCCCTATCCAGGCTCTTTACACATAAATTCTCATAAGCCTTTTATCTTGAGAAACTTCTCAAATTTTGATTTGCAGTTATGGTTGCCTACCTCTTTAAAGGTTCCAGCTATAAAACTATTCATATGGACTCATTGTCTCTGATGTACATGTTGCCTGGAGTTCAAGGTCTGATTCTACCTGCTTAACATAACAGAATCCTCAATGGCTTGTCAAAGGTCTTTGTCAGGTGACTGATGTGAATTCTCCTGACTAATATTGTTTTGTAGGATTGTGGAGAATGCAAAAAGAAAAAATAAAAACAAATTGAGTATACTGGCATATACTCGCTTGAGGAAAAAAATGTAGTTGTTTGTTTGTTTGTTTTTAAAGAACAACAAAAGAACAGTTTAAGGGGTAAACAAAACACATTAACAGGCCTTTTTTTTTTCATCCAAACTCTGTACTTAATGCGAATATTCCTAAATGTAGATATTCCTGTGTGTTGTAACAAGTGGCTAGATTATGTTACTTTAATACCTTTTTTAATATGTGATATATAGCTCTATGAGTAATTGGCAATTAATTTTATAAGTTAATTTAATAATATACTTCTTAGAAAAAATGCTTCAAGTTAGCTTATTTTCAGCTTGTGTACTCAGCTTGTGTTACTGCTTCACAAGAAGCACAGCCAATTAGCAGTATTAAGATCAGTGAGCCGGTATTTGTCCTGTCTGTAACAGATTGAACAGTTTTGTCACCATCTATCATTTCTGGAGCGGCATATTAAAGCACATGCTCCTGTTCATTGTGTTGGACAAGCACAGAAGAGACAGTAGCTCTAGAGACTTCTGAAAATGTCTTTGCAAATCTTTGCTACATCAGAGAACAAGTATTAGATAAGAGTTTGTAACACTTGACTTATTTTCCTTAAATGTTTTCTTTTAACTGAGATGTAGGTTAGAGAAATTTAAAGCTAAGTAAAGATAATGGAGCACGGGGTGCTATATTTTCTTAGTAATACCATCATTTTCTTATGACAGGTGTCACCACATGGTGACCTTGTTCATGATTTTCAAGTTGTTCTTCTAGTAGGTGAACAAAAACTCAGTCTTGAGATGTTTCAAGGTTTCATGTGATGGGAGTAATTAAAGCTGAAGAAAGTTTGCTCTGAGCAAACTGATTAACATTAAAACTGAGTTTCTCCTTGAGAACCTAACGTTTGTAAGACTTCTCTCCATGCTATTTGAACACTTTCAAGTGGCAAATGTGTAGTTAAAGCAAATTGCACTTAATATATTCCAATGCTATACCAAGAATTTTTCTTTCATTGGAGAGCTTACCTGCCACATCTGCTTCTACTTGGCAGAGTTGTAACAGCCAGAGTCTGTTACCTCAGGCAATTGCCTGGAGGCCAAGTACAAGGAGTCATCAAACTGGTCTGGTGTGAATTTTGTTGTGGATCTGAATTTTGTTTATCCTGTACATGTGGCTAGCATTTATGCCAAGCAAGTTAGGGCAACAGCAGGCTAGGGGTGTAAGTGAGGGAAAAAGAGCAAAAGTCAGTGCTGTGCTATCTCTTGGCCCTTTGCCTGCTCAGTTTCTGACAGTGGGAGTAAGGTGAGTGCCATGCTGCATACCAGATCGTGACCTAGGATCTGAAAGCATGGAATATGGTACTGGAACAAACTTTTTTACTTACTGGCTAAGGGAGAAAACTGCAGTCTAGACAACTGGAGAATGGCTCAGGGATTATGGCTGTCTTATGATAACTTTCTGATTATAACTACAGAGAACAGAAATGGGCTCAATATGAAGAGAAAGGAAGGCCATTTAAAAATAAAAGCAAAGAAAGCCTTAGGACTGTAATTCACAAGCAAGAGCACAGGTCCGCTGTATTCAAACCAAAATGAGAGGTTTCACCAGAAAGAACTGGTTGAGGTTTTAAGCTCTGAAAGAGTCTCATTGTCAGCATCAGTTACCTACCTACATATGGCTGTAATGCTTTTCTGGCTTTAAATGGCATGTTTCATAAGAGTAATTAAAAAGTGAAATAAATGGAACACAAGTCAGCTGTTTATCAGCACTGATATTTTTTAAAGGTAGAAAAGGTTTTTATTCTTCATGTTTAGGTATTTAGTCTCAGGATGATCTGCTCTAAAGTGGGTGAGCCCTTGCATTTCTGTCATACTTGGAACAAGAAGACACTGTAGTATACTGGGTGCTGCCGAGTTAGCTGTGTGATGCTTTGACAGAAACTACCGTATTTCATATTAGCAATTTGCTTTATGTTTTGTTTTGAATTTTGATCTTAATATGATCATGTGGAGACCTGTTGATAGTGAAAAAGTTATGAGACCATTTTAGCAAAACCTTGAAGAAAGTGTGGAATTTTGTTTTTCACAAAGTTTGTAAAATAGTCTCAGTTTAATCTCTTTCCTCAGAAGCGGCCTCCACATTCTATTAAGAAGGTGGAGAAAAAACTCATCTTAGCAAGTGCAAGCATGTGACAGTGGTGAATCCTGATGATTAGTAAAGGAACCAATACTATCAGAAGGCAGGGAAAATGGTTGGATTTTTTTTCCTGTGGGGAGCTAAAAAAAAAAAAAAGGAAATCCAGACTGATAGTTGAACTCCTGGATGTATTTGTGGTTTGTAAATTTGCACACTGTTGAGAGACTCACTAGGCTGAAGAAAAAGATGCAGCTGAAAATGCTTGAGCCTTTTAATTAGTGAAAAACAGACTCACAGAGTAAATTAAATCTGATAAGCTTAATGAGAAGCTGCAGTGTCTGCAGGAACTTCATACTACTGAAAGCTCGACGAAACTGGATATGTATGGCACTGCCAAATACATGCATAGAGTTGGTGCTTCAGCTATGCAAAATGCCACTAATCCGTATGGAATGAAAGTTGACAGAAATTAGCTCCAGTGTGTTGAGCTCTTGTGCCTGTTTCAGAAAACTGCATGCTACAATTTCATGCTACATCCCTTGTGAGTTGTCTGAGGCATTTTTACTCCTTACATGAGAAACTAGCACTGAAAATGCACAGTTAAAGCTGAAATCCATCATTTACCTTCACTTTATGCTCTGCTTGTCTGAGTTTTTTCAGTATCACTGCAGAAGTCATAATAATTGAATAAGAATATGAATCTAAATGCCTACCTATCCAATCTGTAGAAGGTATTTTCTCATGAAATGTGCTGTATCAAATAATATGAAACTGGTTAAACTGGTTTAAGGCTGATTTTTGGCCAGATTCTACTGATTGTGTAGAGTAAAACAAACATACCCCAAAGCTGGCACTGAGCTCAAACCCCAACACAAACCCCATACCTCCAGAGGCAGTATCAAATACAAATACATTCCCTTACCCAGCAATGGGTATTGGGACTGGGGTAGCAGTACTACAGCAGTGTGCTGAATGCCAGTTAAAGAGCAGAGCTTCTCTGTAAAGGACTATTGTTGTCTTCATTTTTGCTTCACATAAGAAAAATTCTTTATTCTATTCAGGTGTGTGGATAACTGAAATGATCAAGTTCAGATGGTGTAAAGTCAGTGAAGGAATGTTCATCTGTTCTAAATAGCGATCTGCCCCAAAATATTTTTAAAATATGACTTTGTTGTTGACCTGCTTGTTGCTTGGCTAGTGCTTTCATCACAGTAGTCTGCCTTGCTTGTTCTTCCTCCTCCCCTCTCTGTCTTCTGAAGCTTGGGAAACTGTCAACCAGGATTGCAGCACCCATGGAAGAAATTTGTGTTATGTGCCTCAGTATTTTTTGTTGCAAGAGGCTGGTGCCATATTAACAGTGTTTTGCACTACAGTCAGTTCCGTTAAATTTTCCTGTTTTGAGGAAAAAAATGAGATAACCCTGATTTGGGCCTTTTGGGCCTGGAGCATTCTTAAAAAAACCCAAAAAGATCATGCAAGGGGGAAACCCATTTCCTGTTCGGCCTTAATTTGAACCATAATCTGTCCCTCCCTTCCTAACTCCCTTCTCTGCTCACCGCTTCAGTGGAGTCTTCCAAACCGCTTCTTTAGGACTGCTAAGTGGTGTCTTGCAGTACAGTGCCTCAAGGGTAGAATGGTTTCAAAAGGGGAAGTTATGACAGATTCTCATGGCTGTTTTAGGAATGTGAGGATCACTAGGGAAGGAAAGAAACAAGAATTTTTTTATTTCAGGCTCTTTGGACAGCTTTTCCGACTTAAAGCCAAAGCATTGCAAAGCCAAGGCTCACTGAAACTGGTGATTTACATCATTAGCTAAATCTCATTTAAACTTTTCATTACAGATCCCTAAATGCCTTAACACAGCACTGCATTTTCCTGTACTAACATTTGGTTAAATCCCCACCGAGGCAAGAATCTTTCAAAAACAATTCCCTGAAGGTAGCCTTTAAACCTAATTTCTGAGAAAGCTTCTTAGATTTTTCCCAAATATGTTTATGCAAAAAATTATGTTAATTACAGGAGGACTACTCTACTGCTTTAGAGAAAAATTCCATTAAGTCTGTGAAATACAATTATTTCATCTGTCATCCTTCACTTTACTAAATAAAAAATATATTTTTAGGAATGTCACTGTTCTGGTATGGTTTATTCATTTGTGAGAGACTAATATTACACTCCTGAGTATAATTATTAAACTAAAACAGTTGTCAGTGCTGTTTTTCAAAGCCATAACACTGATGTGTTTTCCTGGGTGAGCTATAATAATAGTGTAGGAACAGACATTTTGGACTCAATATCTGACAGT